ATCAACTTTGTCCAGGTTCCCACTATGCTTAAAGAATTGGTTGCAAAGATGTTAGATACTACTTCCTTTATCAAAAGACATGGGCACCTTCATGGTTTGGTTTCTTCCAAATTGGACGAGCAGATGATGAGTGTCCTAGTCCAGTTCTTTGATCCACTGTACCATTGCTTTACTTTTCCGGACTACCAGTTGGTCCCTACCTTGGAAGAGTTCTCTGATCTGCTTGGTATCTCTATTCTGGAGCAAACCCCGTTCACAGGTTGGGAGAAGATCCTTAGTCCAGAAGAGTTTGCTTCATCCCCCCATCTAATAAAGGCTGGGGTAATGTCTAATTGGGAAACTCGTAGTGGAGCAAATGGCTTTTTGACTAAATTCTTGGTTGATAAATCTAATCAGTTCTGGGACAATCTAGACTTCCAGGCATTTGAAGACATTCTGGCTCTTCTCATATATGGTTTGGTGCTGTTTCCTAACTCTGATTCCTTTGTTGACGTAAATGCAGTAAAGATCTTCATATCCGGTAATCTTGTGCCCACTCTCTTGGGTGACATTCTTCATTCCCTTTATGCTCGTACTGCTCAGAGGCGGGGAACCCTTATGTGTTGTGCTCTGTTGTTGGTGAGGTGGTTTATTTCTCACCTCCCCAAATCAGTTCTGAAGAACAAGGAAGGCATGGGCGGGGCCTATAGGATTATGTCTCTCTCTCACGATGACATCATTTGGACTATTAAGGGTATGGACGAGGTGGCCATAATTGATCGTTGTGGGGAATACCCCAATGTTCCACTGATAGGAACCAATGGAGGAATCACTTATAATTTGTGCTTGGCCTAAGTCAGTTTGGGCGAGCTAGAAAGGAAGGACCTCATGAGTTGCTAACGCCAAGTATTGTCTTTGATTTCCAAGAGGGTAGTGACGAGCAACGCCGCAGATTCATAAGAGCTTGGGATAGAGTACACAGGTCTGATCTGCACGAGCTGGGTGCAAAGACTTCTCTTCCGATGAAGCCATATCTCTAATGGGTTCGTATCCGTGCCCAAAAGCTGGGAATGTCGTATGAAGCCGTCTTGCCTATCATTGTTGAAGTTGCTGATGAGGAAGGGGTTCCTCCTACCATTCTCCACCCGTACATGCCTACTGACATTGGGGCATTAAAGAGATCTTGGATGCAGCTAAGAGAAGAGCGGGATACTTACAGAGAAAAGTATCACGAGCAAGAGCGAAAGATCCAGAAGTTGACAAGGAAATTGGAGAATGAGCAAATCTTCAATGACTATGTCAGCACCAAAGGGAAACGACCATGGGAGCACTGATGTCCTTTGATTATTTCTAGTTTTGATTTACTTTTCAGTATTTCCTTTTTGTAACACCTTAAAGGCATCTGTTGAACAATTGAATTCAAAGTTTATCTAATAAAAGTATGTTTCATTTTTTACTTACAAATTTGAATCCCTAAAGTCTTTGAAATCATATCATACGCATATCATTCCCATGCACCTCATAACAGGTACCCTTACAGGTTTTCTCATCTTCTTCGCTGTTTATTTCAGCATCATGTCTTCTGAACTATCAACTGAACAAGCAATCAAGGCTCTGCAGGCTCAAAACGCCCAATTCCAGGAATTGTTCATGAACCTGGCTAAGGGTCAGCAAGATCTGAAGGCCTTTATCCTGAAAGAGAAGAAGAAGAAGAAGAAGAAGAAGAAGAAGAAGAAGAAGAAGAAGAAGAAGACGGTCCTATTCAATATGGGTCGCAGATTCGGAAATGATTTGCGAGAAGAGGTTAATTTGACCCCCTCATCTAGAGGGAAAGATAATCAGGAAGAAAGGAGGGCTCTTAGCTCTGTGGTTTCCGACAACGAGACTGACTTCGATGAAGACCAGTATCCTCCGGCTGAGGATAGGTATAAACAACTGGAAGACCGATTGAGTGCGATGGAAGTTCAGAAAGTGCCTGGTCTGGACTTTGGTGACTTGGGTCTGTCATCTGGGGTGGTGATTCCCCACAAGTTCAAGGCACCAGCCTTTGCTAAGTACGGCGGAGTTTCTTGTCCGAAATTGCACCTCTGTTCGTATGTAAGGAAGATTCAGTCGTACACCGCTGACAAGAACCTATGGATCCACTTCTTTCAAGATAGTCTCTCAGGGACTCAGCTTGAATGGTTTTACCAGCTAGAAGGAGCCAGTATCCGTAATTGGGAAGATTTGGTCGCAGCTTTCTACAAGCAGTACCAATACAATGCCGACCTCGCTCCCACGCGTACCCAACTTCAGGGTATGTGTATGGGTGCGGGTGAAGGTTTCAAAGATTATGCTCAGAAGTGGAGGGACCTCGCTTATAGAGTGAAACCACCCTTGGCTGATCTGGAGCTGGTAGACATGTTTCTGGGGACCTTGTCTGGTCCGTATTTCAACCATCTGATTGGAAGTTCGTCGTCTGGGTTTACTAAGCTGATTATGACCGGGGAAAGAATTGAGGCTGGTATCAAATCTGGTAAAATACAGAAGGGTGCTTCATCAGGGACCGAGAAGAAGCCTTTTAAGAAAGAGTCCAGTGCTGTTTACAGTTCAAAAATCCATAATAGACCTGAACGCCGCCAAGCTGTTAATGCGGTGGTTATTTCAAAACCTGTTGTTGCTCCTCAGCGCAACAATCAGCCAAGGGCCGAGAGACCATGAAGACAATTCACTCAGCTCAACATGACTTTATCCCAGATTCTGCCGCAGTTATTAAAGACCAGTCTAGTGATTCCAAGGGAGGCCCCGAAGAATCCAAATACAACATCACCGAAGTACGATCCGAATGCCCGCTGTGCTTTTCACTCTGATAGCCCGGGGCATGATACGGATGACTGTTGGGTCTTGAAGAACAAGGTACAGGACCTGATTGATGCTAAGGAGATCGAGTTCGGAGCACCAGAAAAGCCTAAACATGATGCAGGGGTGAATGCTATCGGGGATGACAATGAAGATGAGTTTGATATTGACAGTTGGATCTACCCGACTGCTGATGGTGGACTAAGCAACTGGACAGCAAAGGACTTCATTCCAATCTCTTTTGTTTCCCAGTAATGAGACCTTTTGTTTTGTATCTGTAACAGAAAATGTTTTAAACTTTATGGCCCAGTGTATTACCCGGGGCACCGTGGCTTCATTTTGTGAGGGATTTATGTGTGTCATCTACATATATCATTAATAAAAGCATTGGACGTTTCTTGCATTTCAAATCTTGCGCTCCTTGTTTTTCTTTTATTATATTGCAAAACAGCTATTTTACACACACTCACGTATCATGGTCTACATCCACTCTGGATCTCACTGGTAACGACTCTGCTACTGCCAGTTATGACTTCGAAAGTCCGATCAACTTAGCCGAAGACGAAGGTGAAAATGATTGCGGAGTGCCTGGTGAACTTGCTAGACTACTGCTTCAAGAAGAGAGGGTCATACTACCTCCAAGCCACCAATTCTGATGCCTCCAATTGCAGGAAGACCATTGATCTTATACTTAAAAGTGCTGGATAATACAAAGAGGTGTGTTGGGGAAGCATGACGAGTCTGACCGAAAAGAGCATGCTATTTATTACCTTAGCAAAAAGTTTACCGACTGTGAGATCCAATACTCACCGCTCAAGAGAACTTGCTGCACTTTGGCATGGGCTGCTCACTGGCTGAGACAGTACATGCTGGCTCATACTACCTTTTTTATATCAAAAAATGGCTACCTACTCACTAATAGTAGGATAACACTGTCTAAAGGATAGGAGGAAAAAAACGATCTTTTCGAGTACAAGTAGATAGATGTTAGATGCTTGCTCAAATAAAACAACTTTTTCACACTTACACATTTCAAAAACAACTTTAAAAAACATTTGCTTTGTCAACACTCTTGAGGACTGATACAAGATTTATTTATCACAAAGCGAACCGTCGCACTAAGGCAATTTCAAAATATTTTGCAAAACACACAAAACACAAGGTACTTTTAAAATGAGCTAAGCATCTAAGAGTCCGTAGAAAACTACGGATGAAAATAGTGCTAACACCTTCCCTTTCCATAATCTACCCCCCTTACTTAGAAAAATCTCAAAAAAGTCTTTTTCTGTTCTTTTCACACTTTCCTTAATTTGGATTAAAAAAAAGTCGATGACGACTCTTGCTTACCGCAACATTTGCGAATACAAAACGCAAAACTAGTATAGCAGTCGGTTCTGCCACCGTATCACAAGGACCAAATTGGACCCTGAGGTAAAGTTAAGGGACTAAAAAGAGTATATTGCCTAAAAAAATTGGATTCTCTTTTTTTTCTCATAAAAATATTATAAAGAGTTGAATATGTTTTTGGTTCCTATAAATTACCAAATTTTGTTTTTGGTCCCTATAATAATAAAGCATGACATCTATTAGTCTTTACAAAATTATTATGCACGTTTTTTGAATGATTATTTTACAAACATATTTAGAACGTTATAAAAAGTTTCTCAAAAAATAAAAGAACTTCAAATTTAATTTCTAAATCGAGATTTTCACTACTTTCATCAATATCTTTTAAAATTTTAAAAATTCATAATTAATTCATCTTATTTTAAAAAATTCTAAAATTTGATAAAAAATATATTTTATAGTATTCTAAGCACGTATGAAAAAATTATTCAAAAATTTAAAACTATAAAAATAATTTAAAAAATTTTAAAATTTTAAAAAATAATAGAGATTAAAATTGCATGAATAAAAATTTTATAAGACCAAAATTTATCATTTTTTTAATAAAGATTAAAAATAAAATTTAAAATATTTATAGCACCAAAAATATATTTAACCATCTTATAAATCAAAATTACATTTCAAAAATATTGTATCTAGAATCTACCACGAACCACACAAACCTCTAACAAAGATTTCATTTCTGTCTAAATCCCAAACAGGAAGAAGTTCCACACAAGCTTTGCCACCACGAAAACCTCCGTTACCTCAAAACCTTAAAACCATAAAATTCCGACATGGAAAACTCTGTCTCTTCTCTCTCCCTACATTTCCCACTAAACCACAAACCCAACATTTTCCAACTCTTCAACTTCAAACCTTCCTCACAAACCCCAACAACCCATCCAAGAAACCTACCCAAATTCACCATCACCAAGAAGAAATTCGCAGAAGAAGATGCATTTCCATCTTCCTTACCACTCCACAGCAAAAACCCACTTTCAATTTACAAAGACATCAAGAACTTCGCTCGCCAAAATAAACTCAAAGAAGCTCTCACCATTTTGGATTACGTTGACCAACAAGGTATTCCAGTCAACGCCACCACTTTCTCTTCTCTCATAGCTGCTTGCATCCGCGCAAACTCGTTGTCTATAGGAAAACAAGTTCATACCCATATCAGAATCAATGGGCTCGAAAAAAACACATTTTTGCTCACGAAACTTGTTCAAATGTACACTTCTTGTGGCTCTTTAGGTGATGCATTGAAGCTGTTTGATGAATTGCCGGTTGAGAGTAGTGTGTATCCTTGGAATGCTTTGCTTAGAGGAACTGTGGTTTCTGGGGGGAGGAAAAAACAATACATTGATGTGGTGAAGACTTATTCGAAGATGAGGGAATTAGGGGTTGAGTTGAATGTTTATAGTTTCTCTTCTGTCATCAAGAGTTTCGCCGCTGCTCCTGCGCTTTATCAAGGGTTGAAGACTCATGCACTTTTGATTAAGAATGGTTTGGTTGATAGTGATATTCTCAGGACTTGTTTGATTGATTTGTATTTTAAGTGTGGTAAGGTTAGGCTTGCCCGTAGTGTGTTTGAGGAAATTCCTGAAATGGAGAGGGATGTTGTTGTTTGGGGAGCTATGCTTTCGGGTTTTTCACACAATAGGTTGCATAAGGAAGTATTGGAATATGTTAAGTGGATGGTGGACGAAGGGATATATCCGAATTCAGTTATAATGATGATTGTTATGCCTGTAATCGGAGAAATTTGTGAAAGGAGGTTAGGTCGGGAAGTTCATGCTTATGTAGTGAAGACAAAATCGTACTCGGAGAGAGTACCGATTCAATCTGCTTTGATTGATATGTATTGCAAGTGCGGGGATTTGGGATCTGCGAGGCGTGTTTTTTATAACTCGCCAGAGAGAAATGTAGTTTGTTGGACAGCTCTTATGTCTGGCTATGCTTCAGATGGAAGACTAGAGCAAGCACTGAGGTCTATAATTTGGATGCAACAAGAAGGGTTTAGACCCGATGTAGTAACAGTTGCCACTGCTCTTCCAGTATGTGCTCAGTTGAGGGCTTTGGAAGAAGGGAAACAGATTCATGCTTATGCTTTGAAACACTGGTTTCTTCCTAACGTGTCTGTATCTTCTTCGTTGATGGTAATGTATTCAAAGTGTGGCATAGTTGAATATTCTGAAAGACTGTTTGAAGGTATGGAGCATAGGAATGTGATTTCATGGACAGTCATGATCAATTCGTACATAGAAAATGGATATCTGTATGAAGCAATTGATGTGATAAGGTCAATGCAGTTGTCAAGAAATCGACCCGACTTGATTGCCATGTCAAGGATGTTGAGTGTTTGCGGTGGGCTAAAGCTTTTAAAACTCGGGAAGGAGATTCACGGGCAGATTTTAAAAAGGGATTTTGCATCAGTCCATTTTATTTCTGCAGAACTTATCAATATGTATGGAACTTTTGGAGATGTTGATAAGGCAATCTTGGTGTTTATTGCAGTACCTGTGAAAGGTTCAATGACATGGACTGCTCTTATAAGGGCTTACGGTGACAACGAATTTTATCAAGGTGCAATTGACCTTTTCAATCAGATGAGATCGAATGGTTTTTCTCCAAATCACTTCACCTTTGGAGTCATTCTATCTATATGTGAAAGAGCTGGATTTGTCAATGATGCAAATAAAATCTTCAATTTAATGCCTAAATATGAAATTGAGGCATCTAAGGAACACTTCGATGTAATGGTCCGACTTCTTACTCGATATGGACAACTAAAGAAAGCTCAGAGATTTGTACAGATGAGTTCTTTCTTGTAGTAAAGGAAAGACCACATTTTTCCTTTGAATGGTTCATAAATTGTCAAAGATTCCTGAATACTTTCATGTAACTTTTGGTTTAGAACATTCACTAGTAACTTATTTATAACTTGTAATCATTCTTTCAGTAAAAACAATCGATAAATCAGATTTTTTTCCTTGAGTGGTTGCCGAATTTCATGTGTTTAAGATCTCAGCTAAGGTCCTGTTAGAAAAATACAGAATATGTGAGTGTGTGTATTTTTCTTCTTAATTTGGCTATGATTCAGTAATATTTTTATTGGGCTTTCAGTGCTAGACTTAAGATTATAAACTGGACTTAACAATAACCGTTTTCATTTCTTTGCTTGTAAATTTTTAGAGTATTCCTTAATCCACCCTGTAGGGTGGAAAATATCCTATGAAAATTCGAAAATGCCTCTCAGATTTCGAAAATGTATTTTCGAACGCACCATAAAATACACTAAATAATGCAGTGAATACACATAATTGTTGAAAAAAACTAAAATAAATGACTCAATTAATGAAGTATTATTAGATAAAAATAAGAGTAATAAGTGTTAAGCAAAAAAATACTTGCAAATGCTATAAAATTCCATAAAATTGAATGTGTGTTGACTATGAACGGTGGTGACATATACGATCACATTGAAGGGTTCTTAACTTTTGCTAATCATACCTTCCACGTGTTAGTACGATTTGAAAATAGCAGTATAGGACTGAGTGATTGTCAACTGCATTACAACTACCATGATGAATATTCTCAACGTAATTCCTAACTATTTTATGGTGACTTAAATGAAGAGGTGTGTACATGGTTCTTCTCCTCGACCTAATTCCCAACTGTTAATAATGCATTATTTCATACTTATGTAAATCAACAGGTGTACATAGTTCTTCCCCTCTATTCCTGACACTGACTTCGTATTCTTTCACCTTCATTGTGGGATTTTTAATCCATAAAACATTGTTCCTCGTCAAGAGATTCTTCATTCAACCACATTCTTCATTCCTGTCATACCAATTGTAACACTATATATGACGTTAATTTTTGGTACTGAATTCAAATCATAAGTAATTAATAACTAGAAAATGACATGAAGGATATTCTTTAATTAATAATTTATTCATTATATAACCAAATGTCAATTGATAGGGAGGATTACACTTCACGAATTTGATAGAGAAAGGTGGAATGAAAATTACAAAAATAAAAATGGAAAAAGCTAATGTAAGAGATTTATCATTTTTTTAATCTAAAATTTGTCATTTTCTACTCGTTCATTTAAAATATATTTATTTTATTTAAATTATTAATAATAAAAATAAGTTTTAGTTAAATAGTAAAATTAAAATTGAAGTAAAAATTAACAAGTTAAAAGTTATAAGTTTAAAAACTACTCTAAATTTTCTTTTTAAAAAAAGTCATAAACCAATAAGGAAATTGCTAAAACCACTATATGCATTGCTATCAATCCTTATTGAAAAATAAAAAATATTCTTAAATTTTAGAGATATATCTTCAGACGCATCCAAAACACAACATTTCAGATTCAGTGGTGAAATTCGGACCTTAGACTGTATAAAACAAATTACGGAGATGTATCTCCGTAAACTTTCAACGTCTAGATTGCACACTTCCTATTTACGGAGATGCTTCTCTAGACGGTATTTAATCAAAAGGGCGCTAGAGTGTTTGAGCAAGGAAGTCTCTAGCAAGGTTGCTTGAGCAAAGAAACCTTGAACTAGTGTGTTTAAGTAAGGATGTCCTGGACTTTGTGTTTAGATAAGGAAGTCTTGAACTGGTGTGTTTAGGCAAGGAAGTCTTGAACTGGCGTGTTTAGGCAAGGAAGTCTCATTTAGGATTGATTGAGCAAGGAAGTCTTGGAATGGTGTATCTAAGCAGGTTTAATCAAGTTTGATTATAGTAAAAAATGTCTTGTGGGACAAGGAGACTAGACTACTCTCGATTGTAGAGGAATCAGGATAATTTTTTAGTGTACTTTTACTTGTTGTTTTTGTGCTTTAAATCATTCTGCTGCTAGCTACTTTGATTCAGAATCTGAACTTGTTAAGATTGAAAATTTGTTGTTAAAGGAACCATAGGTTTCTCTCATACACAATTCAACCCCCTTTCTTGTGTATTTTTCTCACCTTCAATATCATCGTCATTTTTCTTGTGTTCTTTCTTAGGCGAGCAAGTATTTGTGAAATTTACCAATCCTTTGTCGAAATGTTTGAGCTTGTTTCTTTTCAAGTATTTATTGTAGCGTCTAACGAATAAACTCATCTCCTCTTGTTGAGGAGCTTCTTCGTCAGTGTTATCATTTTCTTTTTTTGACTTCTTCACTTTTGACGATGAAACTTTCAAGGAAAGATCTTGTTTCTCTTCTTTACCTTTCTCTTTCTTTTTCAACTTTACTTTGCTATAGGCGAGTCGTTTCAGTTTATTTTCATGCCCAGCTAACTTCCCAAACAACTTTGTAATATCCAAAGTATTAAGATAATTAGATACTTTTATAGTGGTAACCTTTGGTTGTCACTCCCGCCACATAGATCTCAATAATTTATTAGTACAATCTTTGTTAGAATAAGGTTTACTTAAGTTGCATAATTTGTTGATTAAGTGGAGGAATCTAGTTTTCATGAAATTCACAGATTCTCTCACTTCAATACGAAATAGTTTGAACTCTTATGTAAACATATTGACCTTAGAATCTTTGACATCATATGTTCCCTCATAGAAAGTTTGGAGAGCGTTCCACATACCTTTAGCACTCGAATGATGTGAAATTGAGTAACATACTTCTGCGCTTAAAGCAGACATGAGTATATTCCTCGCTTTCAAATCTTATGAAGCCTTTTTTATTTGATTATTTGTCCAATCTTTTGGGTGTTTAACAACGTCATTATTGCTCGTAGGTATAAATGGTCCCTCGGTGACGGTGAACCATATATTTTTGTCATCTGATAATAAATGCACATACATGTTTGCCTTCCAATAAGTATAATTTTATCCTTTTAAAACATGTACTCTATCATACACTTTCTTTGGATCTTCATCGTCTTCCATATTCTCAACATATTAGAGTCGATTAGACACAATCAAAAGATCAGGTCTTGATGTCAATTGTTGGGTGAGAATATGGAGTAATAAAACACTATAGAGGGGAGGGGGTGAATAGACCTTTTAAAAAAGATTATAAAATTTGAGAAATTCTCTAAAATAGATTATTAGAGGTTTTTCAAAAATTCACATGGAATGTTTAAAGAGAAAATGTGAAGATTATATTTTTGTTGGAACTTCATCATGTTAACACTTAATCAATTCACAAATATCAAAGATAGTTTTTTGATTATACACAAAAGGTGATCAATTAATTCAGTTGTATATTTTATGGGGTGTGTTTATACAACGATTCAATATCAATTAATTCTAACCTCGATAGTTTCTCATAATTTAATCACCACTAAAGCTTAATTAGACACCAATTTTAACAAAACATGATCTTACGTAATAAATCGCTACCAATTGAATAAACGACAAACTTTGCTAATAATTGAAAACTTAAGCATGTGATATCCTACGAAAAATTAAATTCAAGAGTGAGTGAGAGAGAGAGAGAGAGAGAGAGAGAGAGATAGAGAGAGAGAGAGAGTACATCAGGATATATAATGGTTTTCCGTTCATCCTCGATTTGCCTACTACAATCTTCAATGGTTTCTCATTGGAACCTATTTATTTCTTTTTATTTTGATAAATATTGCAAGAGTTCTACAATCACTAATGCACAATAATGCCTAAGAAAAATAAATCTCCTACCTGGATCTTAACTTGTATACAACGTAATGCCAAACTCTTCTGCATAATCTTTACTTGATTCACACTTCTTGAATCTTCGAGTATCACCAATCTCCTCACAATCTACATGTTTGGAAATCACCCCTTAATTCCACTGATTTCTTGAGCGATGAACTATCTGGAGATTTGAGAATAACTCCACCTTATTCTTAGTCTTTCACACAATCACTACCAAGGACACCTGGAGAGAAGAACCTTATTCTTTTCATTGGCATTTTTCAGTACCAATGACAACAACCTCAGTCTTGCAAGCTTATTAAAATCTCAACCAAATCTTCATGAACAATTAGTTTCAAGACAACTTCTCCCTCAATCAATTACAAATCTCTCATTATCAAGATTTGAAATCAAAACCGTGTAAACTCTTTCACAAGGTCTGTGAGCTTAGCATGGTATAAAAGTTTATTTTGTTTAGGTGGTTAGCCATTTTAAAAATTCATCTCAGTTCGGAGGTCAATTCGTACAAAATCTCTGTTTAGTTTGGAGGATAGTCAGTCAAAACACTGTTCATTGTTGGTTAAGAAATAAGTCATTGAAAAACTTCAATCGTTATAAAAAGAGGTTTGTGGACATATCATGTTAAAAGCTCTCAAGATAGTGGAAAGTCAGAAGAAAAATTCTTAAAGAGAGAATTATTTCACTTCATTAAGATCGAATCTCTATAATTTGTCAATGTCTTTCTCTTTCCTTTTCCCAATTTCTTTTATTTTTTCTTTACTATATTTTTTATTTATTTATTTATTTATGTATTCCGCTACTTATTTTATTGTACAAATTATTTTAGTCTATTTTAAAAAAAAAATATTTTTAATCAAATATTTTCAAACCTTTCTAATTTATTCTTTTTATATTTAAAGTCACTTGTCAATAATTTTATTAATTTTAATATCATTTTATAACTATAATCAATGATCCTCCAAAAAAAACGAAAAGTTAATCGAATCACAATAATCATTAATATTGGTAGAAAGAAGTTCACTAAATTATATGAATTCTTTAATATAAAACAATAATATGGAATGCAATTTTTATATAAAAAGCTATCATAAAATGAAATGGATTAATAGTGGTAGTTGGTAGAGGGAAAAGTAAAAATATTAATGGTGGTTGATAGAGGACAAAAATTATATTAAGAATA